CAAAGGCTTTATTGAAGTCCAGGTAGATGACATCCACAGCCCTTCCATCATCCACCAGGCAGGTCACCAGGTCATACAAGGAGATCAGGTTGGTCAAGCAGGACCTGCCTTTCATGAACCCATGCTGGCTGGGCCTGATCCCCTGATTGACCTGCACTTGCCTGTTGAGTTCACTCAATATGAACCTCTCCATAATCTTCCCCGGCACCGAGGTCAGGCTGACAGGCCTGTAGTTCCCCGGGTCCTCCTTCCGGCCCTTCTTGTAGATGGGCGTCACATTGGCAAGCCTCCAGTCATCAGGGACCTCCCCTGTTAACCAGGACTGCTGACAGATGATGGAGAGTGGCTTGGTAAGCTCCTCTGTCAGCTCCCGCTGTTAACCCCCATTACTTCAACATAAAGTAGGGCCATAACCTGACCAAGGATTCTTGATCAGGCTGCAGCAGCAATATGTTTATCCCCAAAGCCTGAATTCAGCTTATGGCACAAGAGATGCATCACAGTACAAATCAAACAAAACTCCCTGACTCCAGGTGATGTTTTCAGACACAGTGCAACGCAGAGGGTTACAAAACACCAGGGGAGGGAAAAAAAAAAACCCACCACAACCAAACCCAACAAACCAGACAAGATTACAGTAAGATAGAGATGCTACTCAGCAAAACCTACACAAAACACTTCTAGTGCAGCACATTTTTGTGAAGGTTAAACAAAAACCACTATCGCAGTAGGTATGGAGGGAGAGAAGAGAAGAGAAAGAGCTGCAGATTGATAAAGAATTCAGGGAGGACATTCTTTCCTGAGAGACAGCAGGGGAAAAAAGAAACAGTTTCAGAAGCAGGCAAACAAGGTACCCAGAGTAGCCTTGCCAGCTGACAATTTACTTTTGCCTTTTCCCCAACACTTGGGAGACTGGTATTTGTTATTAATAGAACAGAAAGACTGATTGGCTTTTGTTCTGCAGACAACATGTATCTTTAATTTTCGGCGTCAGCAGAAACGCATATTGTGCTGGCAAACAACAGCTTTAGTTACAAAACAGCTAGTACCAATAAAAGCAGTTCTTGGGCTGCTTTAAAAATGAGTACTGATGTGCTGTTTCTTGGCCACGCTTTATAAAAATTAATTAAGAACAAGATACCTTTTTCAAGTACACAAAAGCCATTAAACACACAACATAAATAAAAAAAAGTATTCCATTTGAACACATGGACAGGTGTGGCTTTTTAAAAGATTAGTAGCTATTCCTCTAATGTGTTTCAATCTCTACAAAGCAAGTACATTCTACAAATTTTAAAAAATAACCAGTTTTGAAAGAATCCTGATCCTGTTGGCCTGATTTCAGTGGTTTGCTTACAGTATTCTTCTGAAGGTACCATACACAGCTTTGCAAGTTGTTCCCCAATGCCCTCCAAGTAGGCAGATCTGCAAACCCAGCTCGACAAGACCAATTAAAAACAGATGAACTGTACCTTGAGCTTTAATAAAATGTGTCTTAATAAAACAAATTAGTTTGCAAAGGATTTTATGATTCTTCTGACTCAATTTGATTAGAATACCAGTAGTCAATGGCCTTAGACAGAAATGCTATTAGAATTTAACTGCGTGCAGATCTTCGTCACTGCTACGTTACTTTGTCACTGTTATGGTACAGCACTTCTAAAGCCCAGGAGACTACAACCGAAATTGATTCACAAACATTGAGAACTTGGCATATCAGTGTAGCTGACCTGATGATCAAACACCAGCTTTGGACCTCCATCTGCTGCAGTGTCTTCACTTAGTAACATCCATGTGTTTGTGTCAATGTCATAGCGATAGAAGTCACTTTTCAGAGATTTGCTGTTCCTCACAGAGGAATCCAGATAGCGTCCCAGCGTGTAGATCTGTCTTCGTTGAATGTCAATGCACATCTTGTGACAAGATCTGGCACTAGGACCACTCTAATAAAGAAAATGACCACAAAAACAAAGAGAACAATACATTTAATGTTGCTCCAGGTAGGTCATTGCACACTCACTAAAGGCAAGTAAGTACTACCAGCAAGTGAAAATCCTTTGCAAATTTTGAGAAAAATGCACTTGTAATCAGACAAATACGGGATTAATATAGAAATATCTATATAACAGAACATTCCATAACTTCTTTGTCCTTTAAAAAGACACCAGCAAAAGCCTTACTGCATTTTTTACAACAAACTTATGACCTGAAGCCTTTTTGCAAGATTCCTTAGAAAACAGACTGTTTCCTCCAGAAGTGATTGAGGCATGTGAACACTACTTGATCTTTTAAAATAACAGAACTTGATGCACATGAGAGGCAAATTAAGATGTTACAGCCTATAAATAACTACATAGGAAGAAGATTAAGAAGTGCTCTATTACAAGAGCCTCTGTTTTATTAATAGGCTGTTTTCTAACAGATCATAACCAGACACTCCCACAAGCAATCATGACCCGTAATGGGTCTTTGAAGGTAACAAAAGCACTCCCTTGTCCTTCACAAAGAGATATGGCCATTCCAGCCTCCAACTACAAGAAAGTTTCCCACGGTAAGCAAAACTGCCGTGAGTTATGATCTTCAAGAGAAACACAGAGGCCTCCTGTCAAATTATTATGTGCTTAATCCATCCAGGAGTGCTCAACTTAAATCATAGAGTAATTTATTCAATGACACTACTATGATGCTACATGGTACCGGGCAGTATCCTTTCTGCTTTCCAAATCCAATTTTGAGTGCCTTCGTACGCTCATCTTGAAGCATGAGAGTGATATTCCTGTACTCCAAAATACTAGAAATTAAGACGTGCAAAGCCTTATTTGCAAAAGATCAGCCAAAAGAGAAAGAAAAAACTGGCATCGTGCTTATACATGAATTATATAGTTTATTTGGCCTTAGTTTGTGTCATTTTGGCACTTCATAAATGAGGATGCCAGAACAAGGCTGGCTAGCTAACTTTGAGAGTCTGGAAACTAACATGAAAACTGGTGAGATTTCAAGTTAAGGTGTACAAAAGTCTGAAGTATGAAAGACAAAAAAAAATCTATTGAAAAATAAAGATTATACAATTAGGCAAAGATGTAACATAAATCACCATTTATTAGAAGACTTACAGTTAAAGAAAAGTAGCCATGCCACACCAAATAATCAGCACAATATTTGGTCCATGTGCTACCAAGTACCACCTCTACAGAAAACAAATCTTCACAACTGTACCATTTCACATTAAAAATTATACTGAAATTACCACCGAAACTTAAAATACCCTGATGGAATACATTTCACTAAGTTAGATAAAATATGAAGAGAAACATTACAGTTTTGTAGTCAAAACTTTACTCATGTTACAGAATTCAATTTCTTGATTAAAGAACAGTTACAGGAAACTGTTTACAGTAACTCAAACGACAATCTGAAGAGGTGAACTGAAATGTTCCTATTTTGTAAATATGAAGCATTATGTCACCAAGGATTACAGCTTTGAGGATGAGTTACTTCATGGTAATTAAGATAATTTTCTTTTCCGAAAAAAATACTGATGGAAGTGAAACATTAGCATTAACATCCTGAAATGCAGCAAAAGTTCATTCATTGCTTTTGGTCACATGGAAGAAGCTGACAGAGAAGGTGGCAACATACTTCATCTTGTTCCTAGAAAATACAAATCAGTATCTTCCAAAGGACCCTGTTCCAAACGCAAAGGGTAGTTTCTTTGCGTGAAAAGTACTGACTTGAGTATTCACAAAGGTTGCCCTGATTCATAAGAAAGTAACCCCAGTAGACAAAATCCATCTCTAGTTACGCAGCTGGGACACTTAGGGACATGCCCATGTTCCCCTGCCAAACACATACTTGCCTTAGCACAGCTGTAGTTTAGATGAAACGTTACGACCTACCTGTGCTTCCCGACCCTCCCCTCTTTGTCATGTCATTGCAGTTTTTTAACTGAACCTGCTGATTCAAGTATCTTCCCCCACTCCCACACCTCCATATGTTCTATGCCTTAAAGTAAATCCTACCAAATTTGCTCAAATAATGTCCTTGGCACTTTCAAGAATTCATCTCCAATTTAGCAATTTCCAGATCTGCCTTGCCTTGAAGAGCTGCGTCGTCAACTGCAAACTCTCTGAGTACAAACATGAGGCTGAAACACTTAGCACCTACAATACCAGCTTCAAGCTAAGTATACAACATACAAATTTAAAATCCTGAGACTATGTTAAAATCAGAAAAGAATTCAGGAAAAACATCTTCTTTCTTGAATTATATACTGATCACACCTCACATAGTAATATTTACCTTTTTAAAGAGCTACTAAAGGTGTTAAGTTTGACCACTTCATGTCTACAGACCACAAGCACAAACTTTATCACCTCAAGTTCACTTAAGAACTCTAACTTCACCAATTTGCAAAACCTACCATAGAGCAGATTCTCGCTTTCAATAAAGAGAACTTCATCCAATTCATAACCTTTTCTCAAAGAAAACTGGAGTTATTCCTGCCTATCACTTACAAGATCACATGGAACCTGACAAAGTTTCCAATTTCGTCTACATGTTTACTAATATGGGTAAATTACTCCATTAAACAGTGGTACACATTGGTTTGACATTTGAGGCAGAAAAGGGGAAAGGCCTAAATCTGTGTTCACTTGAGAGCTACTCAGTTGGACTACAGAAGTCCTTGTAGTGTGCTTATACTTCAAAGGGCATCACAAAGTCCATTTACAAAGCCAGATATGGGCAGACACTGAAAATGAATAAAACACTTCAAGGCACATGTGGTTAAGTGAATCAAGAGCCCGTGGGCGGTTGCGCATGTTCATCCAAAGACGTGTACTTCATGCGGTTACAATAGCGAGCCTGTTGTTCAGACAAAGAACGCACTGCCACAACTTGTCATGGAGAAAGTGACCCACCAAATTCAAATGGGAAAGTTCAAAGAACTTGCCCTCTTATAAGCAAGAAGTGAGAAAAATTGACCATAATAGACATTACTCTCTTTAACCTACAGTTGAAGAGATCAAGTGTGGTTAGAGAGCAAGAGAACAACCTTTTGCCTCCTTCTGCCAGGATATAGGCTGGTTGACGATCCATGAGTTAACGTCCTAAGGCGAGTGGATCTCACTAGCAATTTCTGTATGCGTACTCAAAGCTGGGCCTTATCACCAGAGAGAACTCGCAGACACACAAAAAGTATCTATTGTACTTGCTACTCTTCTAAACATACTAACTGCCATTCCTAAACATATCTGCAGCTAATAAAGACAGTTTCACCTGCACACTGATAACCACAGAAGCAGATTAAACAAGCCCAAGTCTTCTTGAGCAGAGCAGAAGGCAAACAGCAGTTTTGACCAGTTTGCATTCATTTTCTCCTGTGGTTATCTGAAGTCATAACAAACCAATGCAAGACTTCTCATTAAGTACCTGTTCCTTAGATCCAGTTTCATTGAACTATCTTCAAAGCTGTCAGCATGTAGGATCTACAATTTTGCCAACTGACTGATTTAGTAGAGGTATTACTTCCTAAACAGAGCGCATCTTAGTTAAGAGACTCTAGTAAGTCACATCCAGCTACAGCGCCCAAACAAACTGAACAAATACCAGCTTTGGGGACTCTTTCAATTCTCATCAGGAAGCTCCTGGCATGCACACTGCAGAAACCACACGTGAAAGAAGCTTGTGACTAGGCTAAGTTCTTATTCAGATGGCAAGCAATGTGCTACGCTGCTTTGGCCAGTCCCTCCACTTATGCAAGCCTGCGGTGGCAATAGTAAAGCATTAGCATATCACATTTCTAACCTACAAACACGACGCCAAACAATACCAAAGATTACTAAGCATGGGCACTGTTCAGTTTCTGTGGAACTCAATAAATGCCCACACGGAGCTAAGACTAACCTGAACAAAATGGCTCTCTGCCACCCAGCACCACCATACAATTAGCCCAGCATAATAACGGCCAAAACAGATTAAACAGTATGTGCCACCGCCCCGTTTTCAAGTGCTACAAAATACCAAGCTTCTATGCCCTACTCTAATATCCTTGCTCAAACAGGTTGGTCTTGATGCAACTCCTCCGGTCTCTAAAATACAGATAAATGCCCTGATGAGGGTGGGATGGTAGGGAACGGGAGCGTGCACACATAGCTAGCA